TTCTATTTCTTTGCTGAGACTTGTTTTTTCATTGGTTTTGAGGGTGTTTGTACTTGCTCATCAAAGCATTTTTATGATGGCTACTTTAAAATCTAATGTCTCTGTTATCTTAGAGGTGGCATATATTGATTTTTTTTCCATTAATATTGAGATCTTCCTGGTTCATGGTATGAGTGATTTGCAGTTGCAAGCTGTACATTCTGAGTATTCTGCTGAGATTCTGAATTGTATTTAACCCCCCCATTTTAGCTGGTTTCCTCCGACACTGCTCCTGCAGAAGGATGGGGGGATGACACCTTGTTTCTGCCAGGTGAAGGTATCTGTCCAGATTCCCACTTGGCTCCTAGTTACTGCTGGGCTTACACTCACTGGTAGGTAAATTTCTGCTTATTTCTTTTAATACAATTGAATCACTATGCTTTCATTTTACTGACCATTCTCTTACTTATTTTCTCCTTTCCTTAAGTTCAGAAACATAATATTGAAACTAATATTCCCTCTTTGGAGGTCAGTAGGGAACATTCATCAGTATCAGAGCCAGGGACTTCTCTGACAGGGACAACTCTTTGATGGCATTACTGACAATGTGGCACCTCATCTGCCTGCCCTCTTGTCCTCCCTTCTTCCCTCCCATCTGCCCCCTAAGGGGTAATGTCGCACATCGAGAGGAGAGCTTTTTAACCTAGAGGCTGTGGGCACTTAGGAGTCCATGGCGAGGCCTCAGGTGGTCCCCAAAGCCCCCTTCCCTACCAAATATGTAAAATGTTGTGTGTTTGTGCATTTTCCTCAGCGGTTCTCATTAGATTCCTAAACAAGTACATGACCACAGAGGTTAAGGATCACTATAGCAGACTAAGAAATGGGACAATGAAACTGCACGCTTTAAACCAGCCTGTGAGGGGCTGAAGCCAGGTGCCAGCTGCATCACCTAGTGACCAGCATGGCTCTGCTCCAAGGCTCCCGCAGGTGTTGCACTAGCTCCTGGCTGCGCAGGAGGGAGAGGCACGGTGTCCAGGATTGTGGCCTGTGCTCCCTGTTCAGGCCCAGGAAAGAGAAAACAGATCCTCACAATGTAAAATGCTTCAACAAAGTGCAATGACAATGGAAAAAACTTTACAGTGTAATGGACAAACAGTTGTTGAAGGGAAAGAAGTCTGACTTTTTCCTACCTGACTTCAGCTAATAAACCACCACGAATCAAGCCACTAGCCTGGCCCAGAGGGAGGGAGTCACAGCAGGTGGCACTCACAGAAACAGGCTCACTGACAAGACAGCCCTGATGAGAACGGTTGCCCTTGAGGTCCAAGAAGTCAAATTAGCTGCTAACACAATTCTCCACGAAATAAATGGAAAGCAGTGAAAGTAGATTAGAGACAGGAGAAAGCAGGAGGAAAGCGTTGTGAAGGGACCCCAGGACAGTCCTGTGGCAGCAATCACGAGAATTCAGCTGAGCCCAGTGGAGATAGAAGCCTAAACCGAATCAGAGCTGGGTTAAGTGGATTCCTTCCCTGGCGGAGGCTGCGGTCTAACTGAATCTATCAAATTTCTGATTCTGAAGCTTTTCTGATTTCTGTTCCAAACTCGGCCTTTGAAACCCTATTCAAGCTGTTTCATCCCATTATTTCCAGAGTTTCTAAGACAAGAAAGAATATCTAGGGATGCCAGTCTAAAGAGAATATAAGTTTCAAAAGGCAAAGACTCTATCTTCTTTTTCTCCTCTCCAGGTTACCTGAGCCCCGAGAAAGCTCAGGAAGGGAGGCTGGCTGTAGAACAAAACTGATCTGCTTCTAGACTTCTGGTCACATGAGCTGGTGAAGAGACGGCCGTGTTCAGGCTCTGCCTCTGCTAGCAAGTGGTTGCCAAAGGTCCAGAGAGGATCTGGTCCACTAACTAATACAGCTGAACAAACAGGGCCAAGGTGGAACTTTCCAAGTCCTCTACTCATTAAAATAATCCATTCATTCAAGCATAGCTTCGAGAGAACTTGCTACATCTGGGGCACGTGTGTCTATGTTAGGTAGCACCAGGAGATGCACAAGGTACATAATTCAGGGTCCCCTGAGGAATTCCCACTCACCTTGGGGAAACAGAACATGCCCAAGTGAACTGCTAGGAAGTGGTTACAGAGCCTAATTGTTCAAGAGGGGAACTACCGTATAACCCCAAACCACAAACAGTGCTAATAGGACCAGGTAGTTGGGAGCGATCAGAGTGAGAGTTCTTATAAAATAACCCTTAGGGTCTCAAAATGTTTGGGACTGGCGAAACACACTCTCACAACCTCATATACTTCTCAGATCAACTCAGTGGGGGTAGGTGTTATTCCCATTTCAAAGAGATGAGAAGATTTGCCTCCAGTCACAGGACTAGTGAACCCCAGAGCTCTCTCTACGACACAACACTATGGAGGATGCACATTTGCATTTTGGTGGATAATCAGAACCCAGCAAGAGACTCCATGACTTTTCCAGAGGCAAACAGGAAGTTTGGGGTAAGGTCATGACTTAACCCCAGTCCACATGACAGACTTTCTGATGCTGCTCCAAGATCTTTCATTTGGCAGCTTCCAGGGTACATGTTGGGTTTATCTTTGGTACCAGGAGTAAATGTTAAATCGATTACCAAGGGATGCTGTGGAGGAAGCGAGGCAACCTCACAAGAAAGATGTAAGGAAGACTGAATGGAACTGGGCATGAGGGATGTAAAAGGCCAAGGAGGGCTGCCATCTGAGAGGCTGGTGATGGCTAGCACCACTCGCCCAGCCCATGTAATGAGTATCCCGTAATGAGTATCTAGATGTCTGTCGGGGCTCCTTCAGGTTTGTCTTTCCACTGAGGTTATTAGATATCTCCTGCAACAGTTGTGCACACAATGACTGTAATAAAGCCTCCTATGAGGAAAAGAAGAAATTAAAACCTCCTGTGATTTCTCCTCTGAGTTGGCATCAGGAGCTCAGGAGATCTGAAGGGATTTCTGCACACTGAGCCTGATCTATTTAACTGGATGAGTCCAGAAGGAAAGAACAGAGCCTTGGATTCCAATCTGGATTCAATAACTTGTTCACATGTCTGTTTCCTCCACTAAATTGTAAGGAAAACACTGGGTCTTATTCAGATTAACAGAAGCATTACTCAACACATGTTGAATTAGATGGAACAAACTAGACCTGGCTCTGCCTCAGTTTGACTTTAGACAAGCTCAAAGGTCTCCAAGCCTTAGCTCCTTTAATTTTCAAATGGGAATGAAAATGCCTGGCCACTGACCTCATTGGCTGTCATCTGTCATGAGGACCAGGTCAGATCATGTATATATGAGCAGTAACATACTTTCCAGTCCCACATAAACATAAAGGATCAATTTGATCACATATAAAATATCTACTTGCTGGTGACCTGGGTTGGGTATATCATATATTTGGAAAATTTCCTCCACATTATTTTTTCTCTTACAACTTTCACCAAATAGACCCTTAATAAGTATTTTCTGTCTGACTGAGTTGACTGGCTGACAAGTATTTGCCAGACCAGAAAAGTAAAGTTTTCCCTGAGACTGAGAGACAGCTAGGTGTTCTACCATGGGTCTGGGTAAAGATGTCAGACAAAGTGAAAAAAAACAAAGGAGCTGTATGCCTTCAGGAACCCGTGTTCTTCCTGTGGACCATGGGCTGATTTAACTAGAGATCAGGAAAAGGCAACATGACTAACAGTCAATAGAAACTAGCATTGGAGAATCTTATTTTTAAGAATCTCTTAGGCATTTGTCATATTTTTCTCATCTAAATATGCGTAACTGCCCATGTTATGGGACCAGTCAGCTTCCTGGACACTCCTTGTGAGATTCGAATACAGAGCCGGAATCTCTCCCTGTAGCTCTTCTGCAGAGAAAGGCACTGTGGCCCTGAAGACCCCATTCAAGTGTCAGGTGCTCCCTATGAAACCCTATACACCAAGTCTCTGCACAAAAAGTCAGAACCTGGACCAGATGGACACATGAGATCTCCTTCTGGAAGCCATGGTTTGGGGGAGAAGCTCTGCCTGGGTAGAAAGGCTGGGATAGCAGAGTCCTGGGCCCAGGGGTAGAGGAGACTCTTGGGAGGGCAACAAGTAAATGCCACTCTTTACCAATATACTCCAACACTGACCCATTCTCCCATTTAGTTCCCTCCCTCCCTTCGTCCGTCCCTCCGTCCCTCCGTCCCTCCCTCCCTCCCTCCCTCCCTCCCTCCCTCCCTCCTCCAACAATGAGTACTTCCTAAGCTCTAGGCACCTTGCATGGCATGGAGCTGGTTACAACGATAACCAGAAGGACCTCACAGGGTCCTGGGGGCATCCATATCCCTACTCTTATGGGATATGTACTCTACTGGTAAAGTAAGCAGAGTTGTAGGAGTACAGGGGAAAAAACACTTGAGCTGGGCCTTAAAGGATCAGTAGAGTTCTACCAGGCCCAGGAGTCATTTAAGGCGGAGGCAGTAGCTCGGCGAAGCTCTGAGAGGGGCAGTTCAGGGTGCTGGGTAATGACTAGCAGTCCAGTGCACGCTGGCTGTGTGGAGGGCTAGGGAGGGCTGGAGGGCTGGAGGCTGCAGCGGGGGCTGCGGACAGACGGTCAGGGGCTGCTCTGGCAGCAGGGAGCACAGACTATGTCCTGTGGACGGTGGGTGGGGAGCATGGAGAGGGGCAACCTACTCACTGTGAGTTCTGAGGCCAGTGTGCATCAGCGAGAACTGAGTATGAAATTTTCATGATTTTTGTGAGCTGGTTGATTTTACATCAGTAGTTTAAAATTGACCATGATGGGCATGTTTCTACCCCAGAAATCTGCAAACATCACAAATCAGTTGTTTTCAGAGCTGGTTGTTAAACATTTATGGGCACGTGTGTGCATGCTCATGTGTGTACATATGCACACAGACACACACCTATGTCAAGTTGCTAAAATCACAAGCCTAGACCCAGCCGGAAAAGGGTGTCCAGGCAGAGCGGCGCGATCTGCACACTCACCAGCCTCAGGTTCTTCATCGCCTGGGGAAACATGCCTTGATGCAACTGCAATTTGCCAACTTTCATTACCTGCACACCTCTGACGGGGTGGCTTCCCGGGAAGAAGATCCTGGAAGAAACCAAAGGGCAGCGCATCAGTGGCTCCCTCCTCTGCAGTCACATTTCATCAGGAGCCCACGAAAGTCAAAGCCCACACTGTCTGGGACTGTTACCGAGCTCCAGATAGGAGATGAGAGATCCCGAGCGGAGTGGGCACGTGACTGGTCTCCTGCTTCCCAGAATGCCTTTGCATTCGGGGAAAAAATGACTTCAGGGGAATGCCTCTCTAAGAACACCAGAGAAGAGAAACAAGTTTGCATGTATATTGGGAGATGGGGGTGGGGGTGGAGACCAGGTGCTAAGCTTACCCTCTGAGCTCCCTGTGAGGCTCCAGCATCCAGGGCCTCCTTGGAGCAGAAGGGGCCTCTGTACACATCTGTCGAGTAAATGAAAGGAAGCTTCCCTGGCGCCCCGTCTAGATACTAGCACACCCTCCTTTCAACGGAAAGCCCCCTGGACGCCAGGCGTCAGGCTCCTCACTGCCCACCTTTCTTAACGGGCCCTTGGATATTTATTTGACCACTTCACTGGATCACAGAGGTTTTGATTCAGGCCCCCCATCTGTGTTTGCCATGATGTCCTGCATGTGACAGGAACTCGAGACATGCATGACTGTCTTCACACCTAACAGAACATAGTCGTGTGTGGCAGTGAAGCAAAGAATGAAAACGCAGGGCTGTGTTTCAGACCTGACATTACTGAATTTGATGCGACAAGGACTTCCTGCATTAGAGTTGACCACAGTGGACAGTTTGTCCTCTTCTGTCCCCACTTCCGCTATTCTCAGGGACTGCTGAGCTCCTGCATGGATGCAGGATCGGTGCTGGGCTGGGGACACATCAGCATACACCTTTATGCTCCTTGCCTTGAGGCCAACAATCCCACGAGATGCAAGACATACATCCATGCAATGGTTTAAAAATATGACAAAACGGAGCATGACTTAGTGCTCAAATGAGGCCTAACTTAGGAGACGGCAATGCTCAGTTTAAGGCTGTTGAACAGAACTGAGAAAATGACACAGGCACTATGAAGGGAGAGAGGTGACTGGCAGCTGGCTGGCCCAGCAAAGGTGTCCCGGAGGGGGTACACGGGCCTTCCACAGGCTCCCCTGGACTGGGGAACTTGGCTGTGGGGAGAGGGCTTGTCCAGAGAGCAAGGGCCTGCCCAGAGGTGTCAGCAGGATGCCAAGAGCCATGCCTGAGGCGGGCTTGCATGGCCCGCGCGCTCCTCACTGGTCTCCGTAAATAAACTCTGGGGACCCACATGTACCCTGCTGCGTGGCAGGGACGAGGGAGGCTGACCAGGAGAGACACCGTGAGCTCAGGCGGCGGTGCATGTCTGCACGCCGTTCTTCTCCCTGAACCGCAGCTCTTCCCCAATGAAATGTGATCTAGAAACTTCCCATTCATGCTCTGGAAAGGGGGTAGCAGTATTTGCGAAGGACGTATTTAAATCAAGAGGTTGGTCGTTCTTCTAAAGGACGAGAGGAGAAACAAAGAGATGCCGGAACTCTCTTCTCTGCTGATCAGTCAGCCCATCGCACCCCCTACAGAATGGACATCATTATCTCTTGTGTGGACAAGGCCTGGAGACCCCTGCACAAAAGGCTTAGGTACAGAACACCATCATCAGAAGGTAAGTGCCCTGGACGTTTCCTTGAAAAGCACACCTGGATTTGAGATTTTATTTTATTATTACATGTGTGGCCGAATTAAATTTATAGGCCAAATAGTAATTTTATACTAATGATCACCCCCTTGAGCGGAGGTCCGTCACGCCAGTTACAGAAGGTCCATGATGGCAGAGAAAGGGGGGCATGCTTGTGCCATGCCCGGTCCTGCTCTGGTTGCTTTGAGGTGTTAAAAAATGAGGTGGAGGCCAACCAGGGGAGGAGGAGGACACAGTGCCTGCTGGCCGGGGCGGCAGGGGGCTTCCACATAAACATCACAGCCGTCTCAGAGCGCGGCAGGCCTCCCAGCGGACATGAGATAAGACTCACGGTTTCTGGCTGGAGTGGCACCCCTAGGAGAACTGGAGCAGCTCACTCCTGCTGGGAGAAGGTCCCCAGTGAGGGGTCAGGCAACCGTAAAAAACCAAGGTCAGCCTGAGAGCCTGACCCGAGAGGGCGTCAGGGGTGCTAAGGCCAGCGAGGACGAAGACGGGTGGGAATGAGTCCCTGTGCCCGGTGCGGCGAGGGACTCAGCACAGTTGAGGTGCGTCCTTGTCCGTCACTGGCATACAGTCTAGCTGCCGACAGGAGGCCAATTAAATCACGACCCAGGCGCAGTGATGCAGCGAGCTGCCCGACCAGGGCCCCGACAACAGGGCGCCAGAAGCAGCGAGGGCAGTGAGGAGCGCGGTTTCGTCAGTGGCAGAGCTCAAGCTGGCTCAGACGGGAAGAGGCGAAGGACTACCTGGACAAGTGTGTGGGGCACGGGAAGGGACGGGTGCCTCTGGTGACGGTGCGGAGGCTGAATACACAGCACACTGGCCTGGTGGGCGGAGGAGCGTGGAGAGGACAGGGGTCTGAGGCCAGGCGGTGCAGAGACATCAGTGCGAAGCTAGGAAGTTTGAAGTTGTGCTTGTAGGCAGTGGGCACTACCAAAGGGAACTGAGAGCGTGTCATTAGAAAACAGGAAATTGGAAAAAAGACCCTAGGGCATAATGAAAGCAACAACAACAAAACAAGGATCTGATGCCTAAAAAGTTACACAGCTGATTCGATGGCCCTGGAGACCCGCTGGGGTGCCGCAGAGTCCGAGCTGACTCCAAGATTCAGAAATAGAAACGCTGCCACAAAAAATACAAGCGCACTACACAGTGCCAAAGTCACCGGCCAAGGCGTCTGCTTGTTTGGGTGTTACACATTCTCCTTCCACAGGCACAGTGCTAGCAAGCACACGCTCCAGAACGTGGGCCTGGAGTGGGAACTTGCCTCCGGGGTTTGTGTGAAGTGCCCAGGAAGGAATGTGTCGAGACAAGCAGAGAAAAGCAGCAGCACACACCAGCCTTACCTCAGACCCGCACGCTCCGAGACCACGTGGCCACAAGGAGGCTGAGAGTCAGGGCACTGGAATGTCTCAAGTTAAGAGGATGCAGGGAAGAAACTACCTGATGACAGGACCTGTGTGGTTGGTTGTGCTGAGAGTTTTCTACATGATGCAATTACCAACCAATCACACTGCTTAATTACAGAGAACAGTTCTGGCCTTTACTGAGTAGGAAAATCATTCACGGTTCAGGACTTTTTTTTTTTTTAGAACTGATATAAAAAAGTACTAAATTCAAAAGGAGAGCCTAATTTGCCTACATAAACTGTATTTCAGAATAACTAAATAGAATCTTAACTGATAAATGTGAAATGGTGATCAAATTAGAAAAATCATTTTGTAACTCCTGAAGAAACATATATAACTGATCTAGGATAAAAGTATCACTAGGTAAAAACAGTAGATCAAAGAATGATGGAGCACTTCACAATGGATGGATTAGGTTGTTACCACCTGAACCCAATGATCAGTCTTAGCATCACTAAAATGGACAGCCAGACATGACATGCCAGCTGATCTGCCATGATAGGAATTGTTTTGCACAATCTAGAAAGCACCCTTGAGATGAGGAAGGAGGAGGAGGCAAAGAGGAAGGAGGAAGAGGAGGGGGTGGGGAGAGGGAAGAGAAAAATGGAATTTAATTAAGCCCATAAAGTTCAATTTCATTTCATAGCAAAAACAAATGAGAGAGAAGCGAAAGCAACTATCCAAATCCGAGATATGGGAAATTCAGCAGGACCTCGATCCAGGATCTTCAACAGGTCAATGGTGTGAAAAGAAAAAGTTGGCAATAGAGGAGAACTCACTAGATCAAAAAGAGACAGAAGAGATACAACTAAGTGTGATGTGTAGACTTGTTCATCTTAATTCAAACAAAACAACTATAAAATGATATTTCTGAGACGGTCTAGAAAATGTGACCCAGAAATGGCATTGCAAACACTTGAGAAGATGTCCAGTCTTCCAGAGACACAAACAGAAGTACACATGAATAAAATAATGCAATGCTTGAGATTTAAGTTTTTTAGCAGAATTTCTTCTTCTGGCAATGCTGAAATTAGCTTGTTTCAGGCCAAATTCTGCGCTAAGAACAAAAAAGTTAGAGCAAAAGTTTATGTTTGAGGGTATCAAAGAGCCCCCCAGGCAGAGTGGTCTTGAAGAGTCAAGATCACAGAAAGAATGGAGCTCATTTGCTGCTACTGAGCAACTTGGCTGATTTAGAAGTCAAGGCAGACAAACTAAACAGCTGAACAGGGGTTTTGGTAGTCTCATAGATATGGAGACACAGAAATAGAAGTTCAGGGCTCAACAATGGTGAAAATGAGCCATAATAAACATCTCTGACTTTCATTTTAGACCCCCAAAGGGCTACAATCTAGGAATAGTAGTACACAGAAATAGACCGAATCAGTGCAAAGACGGAATCAGTACAATCCCTGATTGGATTAAGGGGATCTGTTTCTTCCCTGATTACCAACAGCAAAAAGTAAATTCTCCCTAAAGGAAGATAACATCATCCTGAATCTCAAACTATTTCTTCAATTTTTCTATCCAATGTTCGGTATTTAGTAAAATTATAAGTAGGCATACAAAAACATAAGGACTGTCTGAAAACCAAGAGAAAAATACAATGAAACAGACTTACAAGTATTCAGATATTAGAGTTCTCACACAGAGACTTTAAAATAACTATGATAAGTATATTTGGGACTCACATAATAGAACATAATTTTAGTAGAAAATTTAAAATTATATAAAAAAATAACCAATGAAAATTCTAGAACTGAAAAATAGAACACTGAAATGACGAATTTAATAGTTTAACATCAGATTTGTCACAGCCAAGGAAAGAAATAGTGAATTGGAAGGCAGGTCAAAAGAGTTAACAATTGTAAAACATGAAGAGACAATGAAATGGAAAATAAAGGAGGACATGGGTCTTACATATGTTAACTGG